ACCCACTCACACACACGAGGAGTTAATGAGTTTTATTACTTTTACGTGTAAAATGTTCATATTTCGGAATATTTAGCGTTACAAATCGAACATATTTCGCTCTCCACACAATTCCTTATAAAGCTTTCAAATTCTCAACCGTTCCGAGCGTGACCAAACACCACGTCAGTTGACACTCCTCAGGGCTCTTTCCGCCCTGGGCTCACGCAACGCGTGACGCTTTCAAGAATAAATACGTACGTGTCCGAGAATCGATTTTTCGCTTTTCTCGAGACGTGAGTTTGGAAGGCCTGTCAAAAAACCAAAACAAATGTGTAATATTCATAATGATTTTCATTTAGCCGTGGCGACGGGCTTGTCAGCTTTATCTTATCGTACTTACGCTTTTCTGGGAAGCATGTCAAAATGATTCCAGAGCAGTCGGGCATAAACATAAACAGGTAATCTTTTCTCAATAGAACTTTGACCCAACATATTATATTACTTTGAAGGCTTCGAAAAATCCTCGAAAACGTCTGCTCTTGTTTGACTTCGCTGTACATTTATTTCAGCCCAATGGTCTGATAATTGTATCGTAGAAAGCATTTGGAAGAAACAACAGTATATTACACAACATTTCAATGGATATAACATCCGATTGATAAACAAATGATCCCAAAGAAGGTGATGTGGGTTTCACGATGAATGAAGATCCAGAAGGTGCACAACTTATTCAAGACATTGCGCGGCCGCAAGTAAGTAAATTGATATCTACGTTTTGACAACTGGTGCGCATTCCTTTAACATCGATGGAACTCCAATCTTAGCGCAGAGAAAATTCAAAACACGCTGTTTAACAGAACTGAGTATCATCAGATGAATAAAGTTGAATCCCGTAAAGGACAAACACACTGTTTATACAACCGATTATCGATCATTGAGATGAATTAAGTTTGAGTAATTCCAAAAGAAGATACTAACCGATTCATTCTTCATTGTGGATTAATCGTTGCCAGACTTCATATAAAACCCATGGTATGCGTATCCAGAGGTCATCTTTTTCTAGGAAGCAGCTTCGCTGACTTAAAGCTCCATAATTAGAGACGGGTGACCTCGAACTTTGTTGCAGTTTTTTTTCACTGCTTGTCAACTGTCTTAAACTTTGTTTACCTTCCTGCACTTGGTTAGCTTAGCCAGCTTTAATTTTATACTTTTAAAAATCCTTCTAGTGTAATCCAAATTCGAGATGGCGGTTGGTGTCCCGGGTATGCTCTTGAAAGGGGCAATTTAACGAAACGAAACATATACCCAGTCCTTTCAAACGCAAATCTATCTTTATATTTTCATTACTCGGCTTGCCATTTACTGTTTTTCATCGTTCTTTCATTCCCTGAAACATGAAAACAATTTCCGAGTCTGATGCTATATCAACCATCCTGAATTCTAAGAATCGATAAGACGCCACATTCAGAATGTCACCTTGTCATGATGTTGTCGAGTTTCTCTCCGTGACTCGGAGAGCCGAAAAGACGGCGAATTGCGTCCGATCCAGCCGGTTTAACCAGATTGTCTGGTCAATACGGGTAGAAACATCATATACAGCACAGAGCAATCCCTGGAGAGTATTCCATTCAATGAAAAATTTCCGGTTTGAATTTCTGGGATTTCCAGTGACGAATGGTACAGCAGTCCCCTGAATTTCCGGAAAACTGGACAACCTTGTGAGGTATACCGAAATTTCCGGAAATTTCTTCCGGAAATTTGTGCTCCATTTGACTTTCCTCTCGGAATTTCCGGAATTTTCGGTTGAATGGTTTGCTTTTTGGAAATTCAACAATTTCCGGATTTTCTGGAAACTGGATATTTCCGTTCCATTTGTCCCCTTTTCGAAATTTTTGGAATTTTTTGTTGAATGGAAGGCGCCCTAGTTGTTTCCCATTTACACGGAGAAATCGGTTCGTCAATGGTTGTGCAAATGGTAAGCAAAAATGCCCGAAGGTAGGTTCCCTTCGGATTGGCCATTTACCATTTACTCAAAAATTCCCCATTGACGAGAGAAACAAGGCAGAGTTAAACATCCGAGATGGCGGTGAAGAATTGCAAATGTAAGCACATTTTCCACTCGGATATTTCGGTTGGAACTGAATTTTAGACCACCTTTCAAGACGTTCCGTTTATTTCGCAAATTTTCTGGTCAGTCGGGCCAAAATTTTCTAACCATGTACATTCTGACCAAAAATTCCGGAATGTTTGGGTAAATGGTATACAACCCTGGACAGGGGCTAACTCACCCTATCAAAAACCTCGTAAACAAAACTAGCCAAAGCATGCTCCAGGTGAAGGAATGTTCCATTGGCTGAATTCCTTTTCAACGAAATCTTGTATTTTTATGTATAGAGTATTCCATCATTCAATGACTAATCTACTTTCTTTTGTTGAAGTTTTTGTTAATTTAAGACTAGTTACAAAATAGCAAACTAAAAAGTAAACATGCACCACAAACTGTAATATTATTGTTAATGATTCAATTGGACACTTTTTTAATAATGAATTTCTTTCTTCTCCAGTTTCGCAGAATACTCATCAACCTGGTTTTGCCTGGCTTTCCACCACTTTGCGTCCTTTTCCAGCTGTTTAGATTAGCTTCATTGGTGATGTTTTCCATGTTCCTGTTTGACTGTATTTTGTACCACGACACAACGAGTGTGGATTGCACATACTTCACAGTGTACAATACTCCACCGTGCGATCCGTACTGCTGGAAGACTGTATGGCTGGTCTGCTCAATTTTAACGTCAACTGTGTTCATCTGTTTGCTAAACAGAACAATGTTACCTGAGCTAAGGCCAGTGAGGAACAAAGTAGTATTGAAGAGTCTCATCCGAATGCCCTACTTCTGGTCTCTTAATACTACCACAGCACTTGCAGTTCTGTACGACGCCTTAATTATGATTCAAAACAAAAAGGCAAAGATCTCTATCGAATGCCTGGAAATTGTCTCCAAACCGTGGACTTTGTGTTTGTTATATCAGTTGAATTTCACCTTTCCTCCTTGTACACAGAGAGGTTTTCGACGTATTTCAAGAGCTGCTTACTGCATCACATTGTCCATTTATGTCTTGGACAATCTTTCCAGGTTCGCGGCAGATACAGCTCAAGTCGCCTTTAAGTTTTATACAATCAACCGTGATTTGCCGAAACCGCTGACCATCATTAACCTTATGTTGATGATAATCAATGCGTCAGTATACTATAATTTTATGCAGTTCTTTTGGAAGAAGCTTTTCCGTGACGATAAGGAAATTTTGAAAGTGTTTAAACAAAAGTTTGTGGACAGTAAGGGGATAAAAGAGTTTGTACAGAATGGCAACCCAGAGTGACAGAACATGGCGTCTCCTGTATGAA